TCGACAGAAAGCCAAGCTGCTCACCAAGGTGACCAAAGAGAGGCAGCACAAGCTGAAGGTTAGTGCCTGGCACTTACTCCTGTGACGTCCTCCGCTCCCAGCGTGGGGTGCAGCAAGCAGGAGGCTCTGGGGAAATATTAGTTGAATGAATGAATGAATGCATGCATAAGTGAGGCAAGGACGGGGGGCGTCAGCTGCTTCGGTTGCACTCATGTGACTCGGCAGAGGCTGGTCAATGCCGTGCTGTCCCTACAAAGCCGAGGCAGATGCCCTGTGTCCTGCTGTTTTCAAGTCAGAAGCCCACCCTGTCCCACCTCCTCTAGGTTCCTGTTTCTATCTGAGGGGCTCCTCTGGTTCTCACCTTGTGGAGCAGAGTGACCCATGTCTCCAGCTCTGTCCCCTTCTCCAGGTGCTCTCTGATGTGCTCAGGAGCCAGCAATAATACATACAGCCAATTTCCACTGGGGCAGGAGGGGCTGTCCCCTCCCAGCACCTGAGTTCCCACTCAGCAGGTGCCTGGGGACACTGTGCACTGATGAAGGGAGCTCCATCTGTGACAGACACATTTCCTAAGTGAGTCAGAAGATCTTAGTGTCAAGGACAGGAGGGATGAGTGTTGAGGTGACCCATGGTTTACAAGTGCAGTCATCTGTCGAGTCATCCATGACCCCTGGCAGGTCAGAAGTGAGACAAGGCGCCGGGCACAGGTCGTATGGAGAGTTTCAGATTCTGTCCTTTCTCTGCGTTACTGTCCAGAGTTCAGAGGGTTTGCCATGTTGGTGTGGTGGCCCTGCTTGTTGGGAAGCGGGTCCATTCATTCCCCAGTAGAGAGGAGACGTGGAGCACAGGACAGAGCCGCGTGGGGAGCTCGTCTGGGGCTGTCCCCCGCTGCGCCCGGCAGCTCTTGCTCTGGGGAGATGCTTGCTCAGAGGAGTCTTTCCACGGCAGATGGTTTGGGACCAGATCAACCACTGCACGCTGAAGCTGCGCCAGTCCACGGGGCTGATGGAGTACTGCCTGGAGGCAATCGAGGAAAATGATCCCTCGGGGTTCCTGCAGGTGAGCCCGCCCCTGAGGGGCTTCCTGCAGCTCCATGCCACCCCCCAGCTAGCCCAGCCTAGGCAAGACCCTCCCACGGCGTGGAGCTGAGTGGGTTCTCCTTGGCGCACTGACTCCAGAAGACCTGGATGCTCACCTCGGCTCCAGCTCGCACTAGCTGTGACCCTGATTTTGCATCACCCATTAAACAAGGGGATGAAATGGCAAAATCTCCAGGCCCCAAGTGCCAGGCTTCCACGTTTTCTCCACAAATGGGAAAGGACAGGCTTTGCCAAGCAAGCTGGACAGATTGCACTGGGGGCAGGGAGCTGGCAGACTCCACATGGCCCGTCACCTCCATATGTGGCCCCCCCAAGCCTGGCAGTGACCAGCTGTCCGCAGGGACAGCCCAGCCTCCTGGGGTCAGGTGTCCAGCACTAGGGCTGACTTGGGGTCATGAGCATCTCTCGGGAGCATGGCAGTGATTCATCCTCTGTCTGTGGGGAGGATGATGAATCCTCTTGTTTATTCCCCAATGAGGGTGCACGGGATCATGGCTCTGCAGGGACACGTGCAGGGATATATCTGATGTGCAGGGCTGTCCCGCAGCGGGGAGCAGAACCGTGGGCAGTGCTATCAGAGTTTGGAGCAGAAACTACAGGACAACTCACCAGGGGTGGGGGGCTTCAAAACTCTGGGGATACGGGATACACTTTCTTCAGACATGGGGGCAAACTCTATATGCTCCATGTTGCAAATACGAGATCAGGCGAAACAGACATAATGAAGGATGCTTTGCACGATTCTCAAGAGCATCGGGTACTTCTCGAAAGGGTTGGGCTCACTTTCTTGAGAGAGCAAGGGCTTCTTACACTTAACAAGGTGACACTTTGGGGGTCAGGGAGAGAGGGAAACATGGTTCCACTGTTAGAATGCGATTGAAACAATGCGTTGCGCTTTTACACGGCCCGTGTTGCAGGGCAGGGGTCACTGAATCTCTGCCCGGCTTCAGAACACGCACTTAGCACGGCCCGTCCCCGGCCTGAGCCCTCTCTCCCCACCGGCTGCATGGTTTTTCCTTTGTGAATTGAAACCCTGAACTCTGTGCTCCCCCTTAAGATCTCGGACGCTCTGATCAAGCGTGTCCAGGTGTCTCAGGAGCAGTGGGTCAAAGGTGCCCTGGAGCCGAAGGTGTCTGCGGAGTTTGACCTGACCTTGGACAGCGAACCACTGCTGCAAGCCATCCACCAGCTGGACTTCATCCAGATGAAATGTAGGGGTGAGCCGCGGTCGGCCCCGCGCTCTCGGTGCTTCTTTCAGGGGCATCCGGTCCTAGGGGCAGCGTGGTGCTGTCGGGAGACCTGTCACACCCTGGGCGTGGCAGAGTGGGCGGTGGGCACGCCAGAGCCACCGGCCAGCCGTGGGAGCCGAGCTTCCCCACTTGTAAATGGGGATCACTTGTGCATGCAGAAACATGTATGGAGGGCCCACTGTGTGCCAGGCACCATCTGGGCGCTCGGGACGCAGCGGTGAATGTGTCTGCAAACGCCCTGCAGGACTGAGCCTAAATTCTAGGGGCGGAAACGGACAATGTGCAGACAAACCCAGAATATGAGGCCTATAGCAGCAGGTGCTATGAAGATAAGCAGAGGAAGGAGAGGCAGGGGATGTCCGGTGCATTCTGAGGAGAGGAGGAGGGAGAGGAGGGGGAGGGGAGGAGGAGGGGGAGGAGGGAGAAGCCGTCTCAGGGAAGAACATTCCAGGCTGCAGAGAGATGAGGAAGGCAGGCCATGAGGCTTCTGTGTCAAGAAGAGCAAGGTCAGAGATGAGAGCAGGACCCACAAGGGTGGCAGGCGCTAAGTTCGGGGAACCCAGGGGAGCCCGCAGCAGGGGTCAGGTGAAGTCTGTGTCACGTGCCCCAGTTCGGGAATTCGCGGGCTCTGGCCAGAGCCAGAGCCCGTCCTGCAGCCTGTCCGTGATGCCAGGGCAGGTTCAGGAGGGGACAGGAGCTGTGTGGTCTCCTGTGCACTGGGGGCCACACCTGCAGAATCTGTGACCTAGGACGTCCCTCCCTGCAGAACCCGTGGCCAGTTTTAAACTAGGTTCTCCCACACGGTTGCACCTAGGCTGGGGCTTGCAAATGCCACCTGCCAGGGTGTAAATGATGGCGGGAGGAGCAGGAGCCTGGCAGAGGGGGAGCCGCTGCGGTGGGAAGGGGCCTGGGGCTCAGGAGGCGGCGGGAGAGCAGAATCGCGGAGCCGGGGCCTGGACAGAGGACTCCACGCCATTAGCTGAGCCCCAGAGCCAGGCTGTGCTCAGCCAGCCCTGGGCCGCATCCAGAACTGAGGCAGGGGGTTCACCCAACTGAGCTGTCATTAAAATCCAGACGATGGTGCCCTAAGTCTTGGAGCCAAACTGAAATACGTATCTTCCACCAAACCAATGTTGCAATTTTCCCATTAGAAAAGGTCAGAGTGCACTATATCTATTGCTAAAATCTCTTGAGCCTGAATAGAGCTAGAAAATAAACAAAAAGTCTCCCACTCCCACCTTAATAGAACTTGTGATAAAATTGATCCAAATCCCTAATTCCTTGGGTCAATCAATGGTCCAACAGGCCGAGATTGCTTCCCGGTGCCCACATCGTGTTCCGTGACCTTTCAGCTCCCGGCCCAGGGTCCAGCTGGGTCTTTGCATCTGCACAGCCGTGCAGAGGGTCCACTGGGCTGGCTGGGGCTGGGCGGCATACGGGATGTGTCCTTGTGTGCTCCTCCCGGGTCTGACGGTCAAAGACAGCGGTTCTCGGGGTGGGAGGCTGGGGGTGGGAAAGAGGGAGCCCTGCCCTAGGGCTGCAGGCTCTGGGGGCACCTGCCAGGCCCCCTGAGATTCCAGCACCCCTGTGTACACCCTCATCCCCAGCCACCTTGAGACTGACCCCTGGGCAGCTGGGAGTGACCACAGAGTGGCCGGGAGCCCCTGGGGTGGGGGTGGGGTGGAGCGGGGCACTAACCGTGTGGTCCCTGTCGCAGTGCCACCCGTGCCCCTGCTGCAGCTGGAGAAGTGCTGCACCCACAACAACAGTGTCACGCTGGCCTGGAGGATGCCACCCTTCACCCACAGCCCCGTGGACGGCTACATCCTAGAGCTGGATGACGGGGACGGGGGGCAGTTCCGGGTGAGGCCTCGCTGGTTGTCGGGAGGGGTCCTAATGCAGGGGCGGGGAGTGGCCCCACTGCCCCCGAGTCTGGACCAGCCCGTGGGGCCTCCCGTAGCCCTGACGCCACCCCAAGAGAGCTTCCCCACAGGCCAAAGAGGGCTGGTCGGCCTGGGCCCACGGGAGAGGGGCTTCCCTGCCCTGGGCCCGCAGGCACAGTGCCTACCACAGCGACTCCCACGAGGACCGAGCCAGTGTGGGACTGAGGAGAGCTCGGAGCAAGTGCCACCTGCATGTGCCTGGTTCCTCACCCACCCCAGCACACACACAGTGACGCGTCCCCTCGATGGGTCTCATCAGCCTGTCTGGTCTGGCTCATGGACTCACCCGGGCTGGGCTTGGCCCTGGGGAGGGGCACACGTTCCTGCAGAGGAGGAAGCGTCCCACGACAAGGGCTGGGCTTGTAGAAGATGCTGTTGAATCAGGATGACATTCTCCATTCCTGTCCCCACTGCTGGACGGTCATGGGGACAGTGAAGGCTCTTTGTGAGCCAGAAATGCATCTTCTACTCCCCTAGTGACAGTCCCCCACCCAACCCAGACCCCTGCCACAGCCCCACCCTGAGGTTTCACACGGTGAAGCTCAGGTTGAACGGACAGGGGGAGCACGGACCCCAGAACTTCCCAGGCCACCTCCTTTCCAGCCCCGAGAGGACCAAAGAAAGGCTCTCGCTGTTCAGGTTGAACGGACACGGGGAGCCCGAAACCCAGAACTTCCCAGGCCACCTCCTTTCCAGCCCCGAGAGGACCAAAGAAAGGCTCTCGCTGGCCACCCTCTGCAGCTGGGACCACCCTGGGGTGCTTCTCCTGGGGAGTGGCACCTGCTTGAGCCTGGCCAAGGTCAACACTCCTTTAGGGTCCCTCAAAGGGATCTGTGTGCATGCCGTTTCATTTTGTCTGAAAAATACAAGCGCGTGAGGGTCGGGGAAGGACCCGCACACTCCCCTGCGGAGGACAGGAGCAGGGGATGCGGCTGTCTAGGGGGGCGCGACAAGGCAGCAGGTGCCAGCAACAGCGGGTCCCCACTCGCATTGTGGCTGCACAACCAGAAACCAGGAGCAGGACCCATGGCTTTGAGGTGGGGAGAAAGCAGAGACCACACAGAGGTGCTAAAAGCAGCAGCCGCAGGGTTCTTGGGGACCCTCCTCTCCCAGACGCGGCCACTGTCCACAGCCGGCTCCACGCCGGGGTCCTGAAGCTGCTGCGGCGGGAGCAGAGGGTGACCTGTGGCTCCTGCAGGGCTGAGCTGGGACCTCAGGCAAGCTCCCGACCTTCTCCGAGTGACCTCGTGTGTAAAATATGCAAAGTCCCAGGCTGTGGGAGGTTAAAAGGCCATGTGCGACGCCTGGCACGTGGCTGTGACTTCTAATAGCTTGGAGTAACGAGAGCAAAGTCCCAAACACACAGGCAGACAGGAGCTTGGGACAGACACTAAGCACAGTGTGAGGACACAGAAGCCACGCGCTCCGGGGGGGTTGATAAGACACGGGTCACTGAGGCGAATGGGGGACAAAGTAAATCCCTAGAAGAGGATCTTTGGGGTCCAATGCAGTAATGTCCCTCTGGAGAGACCAGGAAAATAGCTCCGGGGGTCCGAGGGGCGGAAGATGCTACTCAGCTGGGAGGGACGGGGATCGATGTCCTCCGGGCTCCAGAGTCTTGTCTGACGGGGCTGCCTCGGTGGTGGCAGGACATTGAGGCGGTGTCCCAGCCAGCTGCAGACCTCACACCTCACCCCCCACAGGCAGAGGGGCCGGGCCGCCCAGAGTAAGGGGTTGGTGCCCAACATGGCTCTGCGGCCCAGCCGCGACTGGCTCTAATTTCCCATATTCAATGACTTCTGCTGGGGCGACAGCACTTTTAATGTCAATGTCCCCGAGGAACCAGCTACCAGGAGGAACTGTCTAAATGCTGGAGGGTCCTCACCAGGGTCATGGCTGTCTTCCAGGAGGTGTATGTCGGGAAGGAGACCCTGTGCACCATCGACGGCCTCCACTTCAACAGCACCTACAACGCCAGGGTCAAGGCTTTCAACTCCTCCGGCGTCGGGCCTTACAGTAAGACCGTCGTCCTGCAGACGTCCGACGGTGAGCACCAGGGTCGTCATCTTATCCCACGATGACCAGCTGTGTGACAGCTGTGGTGACCGGGCAGCGCTGGGCATGCTGCCTTCTCTGAGGGCGAGCTCCCAAAGGAGACACATAGGCCCCCGGGCCCAACCCACGTTTCATCCCATGGGTGTGGAAAAACTGTCAGTGGCTGGAGATGGAAGAGGGAGATGTAAATAAAAACCACGTTCCAGAGATAGTCCTGCTGCACCAGGCACGGCCCAGCCCAGGCTGCAGAGTCCCACTCCCCACTGGTTCCAGGGACAGTGTGAACGCTGCATTTACTGTCTGCGTTTGGATGCAGCCCACTGAGTGGTGTCTGGGGCAGGGAGGGGAGGGGAGGGAACAGGAGCAGGCACTGGGGTCAAAGGACACAACCAGGGCTGCTTTTCTGGAGACCTGCAGCTTTCCACCCAGGACCCTGTGCCCTGCAGAAGGACAGCCCTGGCCATGTGCCTGTGGTCACAGTTTCAGAGTAAGGGCCTTGCTTCCCACACCTGGGGGCTTTGGAGAGCAGAAGGGGGCACCACCCGATGGGCTGCGAAACGGGAGAATTGGGCTTTGTGATCTCGGCCATGTCCCTTCGCCTCTGTGTGTCTCAAATCTCCCACCCACAAGGTGGGCCCGCGACAGCTTCCTCCTCCTCAACTCGGAACAGCGTGGGAAGTGTTTGGAAGGTGTTGGAAACCAGCACCCCGTGAAGTGCATCTAGATTTGGGGCTTTGGGGCTGAGTGTCTGTGTTCCTTGGCAAGGTTGGGTTCAGGGGACTGGGAAGGTGGATGAACACAGAGCAGGGAGTGTGCATGTGTGTGCACGTGGGGGTCACACAGGAGGACCATTCAATGCTGGTGCTGGCCCGAAAGAGACGAGGGCACCCTCATCTCTAAGCCCGTGAGACTACCTCCAAATTCCATCGTCTGACCCTGTGCCTCTTGCCTCCTTTCTTTCCAGTGGCCTGGTTCACATTTGACCCCAACTCTGGGCACCGGGACATTGTCTTGTCCAACGACAACCAGACAGCCACCTGCAGCAGCTATGACGACCGGGTGGTGCTGGGCACGGCCGCCTTCTCCAAGGGCGTGCACTACTGGGAGCTGCACGTGGACCGCTACGACAACCACCCCGACCCCGCCTTCGGGGTGGCCAGGGCCAGCGTGGTCAAGGACATGATGCTGGGCAAAGACGACAAGGCCTGGGCCATGTACGTGGACAACAACCGCAGCTGGTTCATGCACTGCAACTCCCACACCAACAGGTGCGCGCCTTTGGGAAGGGGGGTCCCGTAGACCAGAGGGTCCTGTGGTCCCTGGGCCAGGCGCCAGGAATGGGGGAGGTGCTCCCAGCCGCCTTGTCTCCAGTTTCCAGGTGGCTTTGGCTCTGGTCAGGTAGAAGCGACCGCTTGCCTGCAGCCCAAGTGGGAGTGTGTAACAGTGGCAGGAGCAGCAGCAGCCCAGCCAGACCCAATGTCACCTGGCAAGCCCCGCGGTGGGTGTGCTGTGGGGAGGCTCGGCTCGTGGTTTTCCTTCTGGTTCTGCTCCGTGCTCCTTTGCAACCGTCGACCTACACGTGAGTTGCTGCAGAGTGTTAGCGGGGGTGCCCCCAGGGCCGGTGTCCTCACAACAGTGGCCAGGACTCCACCGAGGGCTGATGTTGTCACCTTTGCTGATTGTCTGCCTGGAGTGGCCCCTGCCGCTGGCCTGGCCTCACGTGGGCTCTGAGCGCAGGCATCGCCCTCAGCAGGGCAGCCCCGCGTGCACACCTTGCACATGTCTGCCCAGGGCGCACGGCCTGGGAGTGGTGCTACCACGGTGGGCGCAGGAGACCCGTCCAGGACGGGCAGGAGGCAGAGCGGGTTGGGCTCCTGCAGGCACTGTGGGTGCCTTGGTCTCTCCTTGCAGACACAAGGAGAGGCAGCGCGCCTCCCCAGGCTCCATAATCTTTCTGTCTCCCAGAGA